TACATTACATAGTTTGTATATTGGGATCATATAGGGATAATGGAAAAGAAAATGGAAACTACTACATTACATAGTTTGTATATTGGGATCATATAGGGATAATGGAAAAGAAAATGGAAACTACTATGGACACTTATTATAATATGGTAGCTTCCATTAGATTTTCCATTATCCCAATATAACCCCAATATATCCTTAATATTACCCCAATATTACTATAATATGCCATGGAAAAATGGCAGCAGCGAAACGGGACCCTCAATCTTTTGTCTCGGCCATGGCTCTGTCGCCTTTGAGCTCCTGCATGGGCAGAAAGGTAAAGGGACTCTACTGGGAACCCCAAATAGGGAACCCCAAGAATATAGTAGGTATATAATAGGAATATACCTACTATATTCTTGGGGTTCCCTATTTGGGGTTCCCAGTAGAGTCCCTTTAGAAAGGTGCTGCAATTTTGTCATTTGGGAGGTTCCCGTTCGAAAGGAGAGGTGCGCTCCAAGCATGTAATTAGCAAAGCTGATGACCAACCGAGTGCTGAAATGAAAGACGACATGTGCTGCAGATGTTCGGACCTAATTGGTAGTTTCCCAAAATTCGGGGTACCCTTTTGGGGGTCACTATAATAAGGACTATAGTATATTGGGGTCTAGATTAAGGTCCCCTTGTTTAGGGAATGACCGAATTATTGTGAAAGATAATCCCAGTATAATCCCAATATATCCCAATATTACCCCAATGTGACCCCAATATAATCCCAATATAACCCCGATCTCAGGCTGAGACCTCACTCACGTACTGGGTCATCTGCCAGCTGTGGCCGCATTTCGCCGAATCACGTAGAATCGACAGTGCATAGTTTCGGTCCGTGCCTGGACCAAGGCTCGGATTGGATATCCTATGATAACCTGGATCTCAAAAAACCTTAAAGAGATTGTAGACTTTTTTTTTGCACGAGCGCAATCGTCTACCTAGGCATTGTTTGCCTTAATAGGAATACAGGGAGGTGTCCAAAGTCACCCTTTTTCATTACTCTTAATACGGGGCGCCATACAAAATAAGGGACCGCCATAAAGGACCATACTTCAAGCAACCCCGACATGAAGACATCATCGCCTGCTTTAATAGATTGCCTAAGATGGTTGTCTCTAATAAGGAAATCCTTGTGTTTACTATCTACCCATAGTATTATGATAATCCTCAACCCTAAACCCTGAATCCTAAACCCTGTAGACCCAAATTACGGTAACTTATTTTGAGTTCCTTAACAGTAACCCAACCCTGAAGGTCCAAGGACCCAAATGATAGGGTTTTAGGGCCCAAATACCATTAGCATTGTCATATTTGGGCCCCCAAACCCTACTATTTGGGGTCCCATATACCCCTTTATTCTCCCCATATATCCCCATATATGCGTCCACGCTCCGCGCTCTCAGCACCCCTCCCCCACCCATGGTATGGTCCCCATCTAGGAATAAGCCATATCTATAACCTACCAGAACCATGAATTCTCCGCAAGACTTCTCTAAAACCTTCTTTCAAACCCCCTGTAAACCCTCACCACAGGACCCAGACCACAGGACCACAGGGGGCCTTCATAAGCTGCCACTAAAGACTCTATAAAACCTCCATGCGACCTCTAGGAACCCTCCAGAAAACTCTCTAACCTTTTGCAAACTGTCTATAGCAGTTATAACCCCCTGTAAACCTTCTGTTCTACAAGTCTATAAAAAAGAACCCTTTATAAACCCTCTAGAAATAATCTTTCCCTATATGATCTGTATAAAACTCTATCAAACCTTCAGAAACCGTCTAGAAATCCCTTCAAAATATCTCTTGCGGCCTCTAAACACCTGCTATTGAATTAATGAACTGTGTGCAAACCTTCTTTAAATCTTCTAGAACCCCTCCATAAACACTTTTAGCTTCTATAAGCTCAATCTAAACCTCTCCACTGTACCACCAAGCCCAGACCACAGGACCACAGGGGAGGGGGTAGGTTATTCCCATTCTATATCATGAACATCATGTACCATTAGGGGGGGGGGGAGGGGGGGGGGTCGTCAATGCTGACGCATATATCTTCCTGGAACCCTAAACCCTAAACCTTTAAACCCTAAACCTTTAAACCCTAAACCCTAAACCTTTAAAACCTAAACCCTAAACTCTAATCCTGGAACCCTTTAAAGGGACCCTATGGCAAAAGGAATAGTAATAATAATAATAGTAATTGTAAT